TCATATCTAAAAAAGACAATTGTTCTTTGCAGTGAATGAGCATAGGCTCCTGTGGTTTATGCTAATTATCTTCATCATTATAATCTATTCAGCTTTCATAGTCTTATGATTTTAAATTATAGTTTGGGCACGCTAATTTTATTTATGGTAATGAATAGGAAAAGAGCTACTACTTGAATTTGTTTTACTAGTGTTGACTATACGGACTTTAAAACTAAAAGGTTAAATTTAAAAAGTTCATGATAACATATATATTCACCCTTCCTCAAACTCTATAATAATATTGCTAGATTGGAATCTCTCCTGTAGTTTGATTTCAAACTAAGTGTTTGCAATGACGGTTTACTTTTCTCTCATTTAAAGCCAGAGTGACTTTATGTAGCTTTTTGCCAATCATAGGAAAAGAAAAAATTTCATAATATTCATCTTAGTTTGATTTACATTTAGCAACAATAGCAATAAATGCTAACTTTGAATAGTGCTTTGAAGTTACCAAGAGCTTTCCCTATATCTTCATTTAATAAGTCCCTTATATCAATAGTAAAAGTGTGTTAACCAATGGAAGGGGATTAGAAATGAAAAAAGGCAAAACATATGTTGAGTACCCTACTAAAAATTAGACAATTTATTGCTTGTTTTATGTATATCATAAATCTATTGCCAATGACAAAAATTTCCTAAATAATAATGAATATAATCTTCAATTATCTTTATTCTCTTCTAAGTCCCTCAGTGATATATGCCATCATTTACCAGATGGCTGGCCAAAGGCAAGATAAGAGTCTTTGAATTTATGATTATCACATCATTCTCAGAGCAAAGCCAGTCAGTCTAAAACACTACCTGAAAGTGGATAATGAAAATCTTCTAATAAGAGAGCTAAGTGTTCTAGGGTTAAAATTCTAGAGTTTAAAACTAACTATCTAGGAGCTTTAACAATAGCATTAATCAAAGGCAAACAATACTTATTCATTCACAGTTCCTTTTAAATAAAGAGTTCAAATTAGCCCTAGCTGTTCATTTAGAATAAGTTGTATGGGAATCACACAGGAAAATATGAATTAAGAATTTTCTATTGAGAAATAAAAAAATATTTACTTTTAAGTATATGGACTTACTAAACAGTAACATGGAACAGAATTAACAAATAAGGAAAAGAACTAGTACACTAAAAGGCTGATCAATGGAAACTTCTAGATAAATTAAGGAAACATTTAACTTTGCTAACTGGTTTAATTGTTGAGCTAATTAAATGCTACTTATTTATTCTTCATGTGTTTAGAATAACATGTTCGGAATAAAATGAAAAAAATCAAACCGCCCCACTTCCTTATGCTTTTGCATAAATCCAGAAACTTAAGTTCTGATACAGTTAGGAGCCAAGGGAAATCTGAGATTAAAAACTCGAATAACAAACAAGTAGAGAGGCCATAATCTGCATTTCCAAAGTTAGTAAATATTGTAGTGAGAGGCTTTTGTCTATTCATAGGTGACTACTGTGCAATTTGGCCAACATACTTTCCCAAAGTAACACAGTGAGCTAAGAGCCAAAATATTTTGTTAAGAATTAATGCAATCGAAGTTAAAGTAATGTAAGAATTATTTAATCAGCCAGTGTTACAGAAATTGTTATATTGATGTTTGAAATTGTTATTCTAACAAGTGTGTGTGTGTGTGTGTGTGTGTGTGTGTGTGTGTGTGTGTGTGTGTGTGTGTAGCAGGCACATATTAACACAAGGACAGAATTCAAAATGTGTTTTCATTAAAACAATTCCTCGTATATTTTTCCAAACACATTTTCTTTTTGTCTGGGTTCAACATTTTAATAAGACACAGGAAAGCAAATAGAAAGCCCTTGATTGGAAAATCATTTTAGAAACAATTTGCCTGAATCTGTAACCATCTGTTACATTTGATAACACACTGCAAGAGTCGCAGTCAAGTTATGAGGCTGTGGAGAGCACAGCTTCCACCAAAGAGATGAGTGGCTAAAGCTGCAGAGATCCCTCTAATAACATGTGTGTCTGTATCCAGAACAGCATGTGAAAAGATTCTCTTTCCAAGCTTACACATAGGGTTGGCCATGTCCTTCCTAAAAATAGATCACATTATAGTATTTCACTATTTTAAGAAACTTCATTAAAATATGCTAAATGCTCTCTTCTCTGGAAAATAGTGATAAAGCACTTAAGATGAAACAACTTTGGAATGCAGCATTTTAATCCTGGTTGAAGTAGAACACAATAAGTATTCGTGGTTTTCATCAATCTATTGTTTTTACTAATGTCTGTATTTTAATTTCAACTAGGGATCTTAGTAAGATGACATACATCTGTATCTTATATTTTCTAAATAAATACAAAGTTTTTACCATGGAAAGGGCTTTCTTTCTTTTTTCTTTTCCTTTCTTTTTTTTAGTCCCATTTCTGTGCTTTTAGTAATTTGGTTCTGGGCAAAGAAAGGGAAATGATAATGTCTGTAGCAGAGATAAAACATTTAGCTGAGATTTTAAAATATTATCTTTCTTTTGCACCATAAATAAAGCTTTGTTTGACTTCTGTTAATTCTCAGAATTCTTTAAAGGAGAGAAAGTATGCCCAATGGTTTTATTTAGAATCCTAAACAGAGTTTGTTAATTGTCATACATATAATTATGTTTTCATAAAAATTAAGAGGTATTATTTGAATTCTTGACTTAAAAGTCAAAGTTGGTCTAGGCAGGTACAAATGAGTTAATCTGGGTGGTTTAAAATGTTATTATTATTTTTCAGATTGAATTTGTTGACAGAAAAGTAGGCAATATTAGGTTTGAAAACAGACTCTCTAATTTTAAATATGAAAAATGATCTTTTAAAATTTTTGTTAAAAAAAAACTGTTAAAAAGAGAGTAAATGAGTGAGTGAGTATAAATGAGTGAGAAGAGATAAAAGGGGAAACTTATAAGACCTTATGTTCTCTCATCTATGTGACTATAGAAATTTTCTATTTTTCTGATTCTAAACCATTGTCACTCCAGTGCATTTTGAGCTCTCTCACTAAGTCCCAAGGCTCTCTTTAGTCTGCCTTCCATCTCTCCAATTTGATTCATTTTACTTCACCATTATAAATTGTCAACTAACCTCAGGTTGGAGGCTTCTCTGTGCTCGCTTCTCTACAATTTTACGCATTCTTCAATACCTAGTGTAAGCCCTACCTCTTACAAAGTTCTTCTGGCAGTACTCTCTTTGAACAGCTCACTTGTATGAAAACATCAAAGACAAGTGTCAAGTTTTTTGAGATAGCTCTAATCACATATGTCATTGTCTCCTACAGGATAAAACTTAGCATACTTGTGATTAGATCCCAATTTGACCTTTTCACATTTGACTTTTTCCCATCCTCTCTCATTATGTTCCTCCACATACTCTGTAGTCTTTTTACACTGGAAACTGTTCTTCCAGAACATACATTTTCCTCCTCTGTGCTTTGCTTTATGCAATTTTCCTCAATGTGTAACTAGTAAGCTAATGTTTCTTGAGGCTTCACCACGTTCCAAGAACTATGTTAAAAATTTTACTGAAATTTGTCATTTAGCTCCATAACAATGCTATGAATCAGTACTATTACTTTCCCAAACAGCAAATGAGAAAATTCAGGCATGGAGAGGTTTAATAACCTATCTCTGAAGTTCTCAAACCAATATATTGTCTCCCTTGAGCATTACTTCAGAACCAGTGATGTGCTATGAGGTTCAATGTCAATGGAACATATTTTGATGAATGTAGCTTAAGATTTTGATGACATAAATTCTTTGGAACATCCATTCTTTTGTTGTTGTTGTTGTATCAAAAACTGATACATCTTTCAAAGTTCAGTTTATAGTCAACCTCCACAAACTCTCTAGTGAGAATCTCGGCTCCATGATCTGCATCATGACAGTCTTTACTTAAAGTGAGCTCCATGACCAGTGTGATCAACATCAACTGGAGTCTTTTAAAAATGCAGACGCTGGCTACACTCTAGAACTCCTGAATCAGAATTTCCATTTTAATGAGAGTAAGCCACGGATGATTCATATTCATTGTAAAGTTTGAGAAGCAAAGCACTAGATACTTATTTCTTTCTGCATTGAGTTATTCACATCAACTAATTATTCTTATTTGCCTGATGTTTTCCAAACAGAAGAATCAGTATGTTATTTATATTTGTCTCACCCAGAGTGACTAGCATAATACTTCCCATATGGTTGCTACTTGGCACATCTTTATTACATGTATTTATTAAACTGAGAGCAAATTCCATGGGAGTAATACCTTTATATCTCCTATAATTCATAGATGTAATATTCTCCTCTAGATTGTAAGTTCTGGGAATGTAGTTATTCTACCTTTCTAGTTCACATTGTGCCTACCCAGTACATGGAAGGTAATTCAGTGAATAATGATGAAGTGAGGCATTGAATAAATTAAGATGACTGATTAATGTGTTGAAGAGAGTTTTTTAGAAGTATAATTTTATTTTAAATTTGTTTAGTTAACTAATACCTATAAGAACTCATGTCAAGTAATGATATAACTTGTTTACAAATATTAACTTAGTCACATTATGAACTAAGGTTATATAGTAGAGCATCAATCTATGTTAAATCAATAAAGGTTGACTTGAGATTCTTCATTCAATTCTAATATATGGTATGGTACATCTACTTCAAGTTGTTTTGTTGCAGATGACTAATTAATGGACCATAGTTGATATAAAATGTCAGTATTTAAGCAATTTTAAATTTTTTCACTTTATTTGTTTTAAAATTCTTCCAAATTAATTGGAATATTGCAGTAAATGGTATGCCACTCACTCCTGCTTGGTATTAAAATAGAAGAATATCAAGATACATCAACAGAAACTTACTTTCCAGTTCAGAAGAGAAACACCCTGACAAATTCAATAAGATTTCAAGTTATAATGTATGTTATATGTTTTTTGCATGTATCATGTATGTACATATGATTTTATATTCCAAGGGAGGAAAGATCCCCATCCGGTGGACGTCACCGGAAGCTATAGCCTACCGCAAATTCACGTCAGCCAGCGATGTATGGAGTTATGGGATTGTTCTCTGGGAGGTGATGTCCTATGGAGAGAGACCATACTGGGAAATGTCCAATCAGGATGTAAGTATTTGTAACCTATGAGTTATGGTTTCAGACTAAGATCAAGCTGTGCAAGGAAGTGGAGCATAATGAAACCAGGTGGCTCTCCGTTTGTGACATTGAAATAGAATACTTAAAAAATGAAATTGCTTCCAAATCTTGAAAGAACATTAATTGAGTTGTTCCAATGGCTTTATATTTTTCCCTCAAGCAGGGGTTTAGAAATGAGACAAAATGAAGACATTTGTAACAAAATGTAAGGAAATAAGTGACTAATAAGATAACCAACAGACACCAAGGAGTGTTTGAAGTATTTTTGCCAGCAAAATTGTTTCTGTATAACATTAGTAAGATACACATGTCTGCCATCGTTTGTAGATTTAATTAATGCATCTATGCCAACATTTATTTACTTAAATATAGCATTTCCCAAAATAAGACAAAACAACTAATCTCTAACATGTTGTTTCTTGTAATGTATTCAAGTTACACATGAATTTAGTTATGCAAATTGAAGTCTCTAGATGGAAAAAAAATCATCTTTAACTCTATTATAACTGTGATATAATTTTTCAAAAGGTTTTTTTTGTTTCTATAAGACATATTTTGCTAATGCTTAGTAAAAGGATGCTCTTGGCATGTGGGATAAGCACTCAGAGATTTTTCTTTATGCTTAGCCAGAAACTGAGCATGATCTCAAAGATACATAAGAAGGAAAGATAAGATGCTTTTACTCATTTCTTACTCACCACATATAAAATTGCTTTTAATGTATTTGGATATAAAAACTCTTTTGTACTTCTTCAAATAAGCTATTTTTTTATAATAGTAATGGGAAAATCAGACTCACTTTGCACATCTCTATTTTCCAAATTTTCTTCGTATCAGAGCATCTCCAAGTGTGGTCTCTGGACTAGCAGTTTTATCATGGCCTGGGAATTTGTAGAAATGCACATTCTCAGGCCTTACTCCTGAGTTATGGAATCAGAGGTTAGTCATCTGTATATTAATAAGTTCTCCAAATGGTTCTGATTCATAGTAAAGTTTAAAATCACTGCTTTACATGATTTTAAAATACTAATAAACCGATAGATACTTAATTGTGCAGCACATGAGCTTTTACCAAAGTGATTACTATGATTTGGAGGGTACCATTTGAACTGTGGTATGACTAAAATCTATATACTAATTTTTTTCTGCATTTATTCATATACAGTTTCCATGAAACCTGTATTACTAAATAAAAATTCATTTATAATTCACTGAATTTCCTGCATCATGGAACATTTCTTTTGATTTTAATCTGAAAAGATCTTTACAAACACTTCTTTTCTAAATCTACTTTCTTTCTATTGATCTTTCTTTATACAACATTTTTGAGCATTAGTAATATTTATTTGGCAAGTTGTCCTTTTAATCAACTTAAAATGAGAGCTTTTTCACTTAACTTTAAAATATTCATATTAATGTAGCTTGCCCATGAAGAAGTAAAAGAAGTCCTACATCTTAAGTCCCTGAAAACTTTGCTTCTCACACAGGTAATTAAAGCTGTGGACGAGGGCTACCGACTGCCACCCCCAATGGACTGCCCAGCTGCGTTGTACCAGCTGATGCTGGATTGCTGGCAGAAAGACAGAAACAACAGACCCAAGTTTGAGCAGATTGTCAGCATTCTGGACAAGCTAATCCGGAACCCAGGCAGTCTGAAGATCATCACCAGTGCGGCAGCAAGGTGACACATTAGAGTTTGCTTCTTGCACTCACTCTGAAAGAGATATATTGTCTAGCTCCAAGGTGTTAATTTTTTCCCCACTCCCCCAACTGTATTTTTTGATATTTATATTCCTCAAGATTGGAAGACATTTCTTTTTTCTTTTTAAATCTTTCAGGAGGAAGCTCATGCTATTTAATGATAATGATGAAATCCTGAGTTATTTTTAACTCCCATTTTGACTAGAAGTGAACCTACATTCAGGCTCATTTTAGTCTTTGGAAAATAGAAATATAGTACACATAGCTTCTTTTCACTCTAAAGTAGTTAAACAAAAAAGAAAACAGATGAACAAACAAACAAAAAAAGGTAATTTCTAGGAGTGGTGAGGAATTCTAATGAAGTCCTAATTTATTCCACATTTAAAATAAATCTTTGAAAATAATAAAAATGCTTCTATAACATTGCACTGGCTAAGAGAATGCAATTTCCCCCAACTTAATTAAACAAATATTTGTTCAACCACATAGTGTGCCAATTACATTGTTAGATACAATCAAGGATAAAACTAAAAGTAAAAAAACTTCAGTGTTCCCAGACAACAACACAAATGCTGATACATTATAACTATAATGCAATCCAGAATGAATAATGTACATTAGATTTTATGCATATGCCATTAAGAATCACTGAGTTCTCTTAAGGTTTTTGAGAAACCTAAATGAAGGTGTACTTACAAAGTGTAATAGAAGAAATAGGAAAGGTGAGATAAATTTTATCAGGGCCATATGAGAAGAAAAGGAGCGTTAATATATTTGGTGTTTCTCATTGTATACATAAGAGAAAAATAGTTCTTTTATATTTTGATGATGTGTTCTCTTATAAGTAAATTACAGAATTTTTAGTAAAAGAACCTATACTTAGTGTGCACATAAATTCACAGTATTAAGTGGTATGTATAAATACTATGTAATGATGTTGTACTGTGACTCATATGTAAAGGCATAATACAAAGCTTTATTGAAAGGAGTTTTCTTATTTCTTTTATGCACATCTGCTCTCTTTACTGACAGTCACCAAGAAGAATGACTTTCGTATTGATAGAGAACTTATTAATGAACTTTATGATAGAGTATATGATTTTTTATCCTAACAGGAATATTATATTGAATATTTATGGTCCAGTTTTTTCACTGTATTTGAATAAGATGAATAAGAAGAACCCACACGAAAGTCTAAATATCAATATATGAGAATTATAGATTATTTGTTTGAGATAACATTTAAAAGTCACTAAGGTTGAACTTACTGATATACCCTTAGTAAGTAAAACTACCCATAACTTATCCTGTAGGGGTGAATCTCTGTTCTAAACTTCACAGAGAGAGAGACTATACAGACTCTTTTGAAAATCCACCTGACAATTTAACAACTAACAGGATATAACAAACCTGTCCTTCCCTGGGCCATATGGTCCTCATTTTGCACCCTGAAGCCATTTCTTTTGATCTTTACTCAATGGCAATCATAGCAAAAAAAGAACATAATTTCAGTTCTTTCCATATCATAAAAAAGACATTCAAACCATTTCCACAGGACGGTATTAGCAATATAAAGACTAACTCATATAATATGATCTAGGGATATTTAAATCCAATTTTATATAGAAAAATAGTCTTAGTATCAGATCGAAGTATGTCAGGATATGTCCTAGCATCCAAATTTTAACATACTCCTTAAATTCACTTTTCCATTCTTATTGAAATTAATATTTTGAAATCTTTTTGTTTTCTCCAGATACCTTCATCCTTCTCCTGTCTTAGTTGAGTACACCAGTACTTATTTATTTGACCAATGAGGATCAAAAAATTCTTGGCACCATTTTCTTGCTCTCCACATGATTATTCTGTTGATGGCTGAATCAATACAATCCATCTACAAACACTCTCTTCTACGACTTTTTTCCCCTTCTGACTTAGACCACTATAGTAGCCCTCTAAGATGCTCCCTGCTTCCATTCTGCCCTGCTCTAACCATCATTTCTTATAGTCCTTGTAATTTCTTTATCAAAAAATCTCTTATAGATAGATAGAAAGATAGATAGATAGATAGATAGATAGATAGATAGATAGATAGATATAGCTATGATTTCAGGCACCTGTTTATAACCAACCTTGATTTCCCATAACATCTAGAAAAGAATCTAGACTCCTTTTAACGACTTAAATAGTTATGCTTATTTAACATCATTTTTTAATTCAAATATTTATTTATTCATTTTTTCAATGACTATTTATTATATGCCAATCTACTATGTGTTAGACATGGGTAGAATCTAGAGAACAGTGAAGAAGACATATGATTCCTGACATCCTGCAGCTTACATTATATAAGATGTACAATACACAGTAGACAAGTACGGATTACAAGAAGGAAATAAATAGATGGTCATGATAGATAATAAAAAGGTAGTTAGAAAAGAGGCAGCCCTCTGAGGAGTTGATAATGAGCTGAGACCTTAAGAAAGAAAAAGAGGCCCATGCTTACAGAATACTTCCATCTCACCCCACTCTCCCAAAAAAGTAATCTTAGCATAGGAATAAGAAACTGCAATTGCGTTTG